AGGAGAGGAGTTGAATCCACACAAATTTTCATCGTACTGCACTGAACTGGTAACACAAATAGAGATGTTTTGATTTCGCAACTAAATTTTGCCAGAAAAATCCGTTAAAATCACAGTTTATATAAACTTAAAAACGGTTGATTAAAGGGCTTCATGTCGACTGTTCTGTATTGGTTATTCGAGACTACCAAAAAACCAAAACTTAAACTTTGTGAGATTCCAGGATTCATGATGATTAAAGTTAAGATTAATTCTGGCAACGGTTGCTACCACGCAGAATCGTTTGTCTCCCCATTCAGCTATCTAAGAACGTAAAAATTAAAATACACAAAACTATAATTGTGCCTGTTGCTTTGTCATGGCATGAAACTTGGTCTCTTTCGTCAAGGGAAGAACACAAAACAAAGGCATTTGAAAACAGGTTACTTTGAGAGAATATTTGAACATAAGAGGGATGGAGTGACAGGAAGCTAGAGTAAACTGAATCCTGAGGAGCTCTATAATTTGTACTCTTCACCAAATATTAGGTCGATCAAATAAAAAAGGACAAGATGTGCGGGGAATGTAGCGAGCGCAGAGGTGAGGAAAGCGCAAACAATTTTGGTTAAATGCCTGACGGAAACAGGCCACTCAGAAGACCTATGAGTAGATGGGGAAATAATATTTAAATGGTTTTCAGGGAAAAAATGTTAACGCTGTGGATTGGTTTCAATTGGCTCAGGATTGGGCTGGTGGCGGGCTTATATGAACACGGCAATGAATCAAATGTGTGGTGAACTGAGAGATACGGAATATATCGTGGCCTATTTTGATTACTATCCCAGCACTAAATGACAAAAATCACGAGACATAAGGCAGCACAGCGGGACATTCGATCAGGATTCTGGCCGCCAACACCGACCGATCTCATCTCATAATGTGCAGGAAGTCTGTCAGGACGACCTGTTTGTATTGCGCAACGCGTGACATATGCAGCAGTCGGCGAAAGCTGCAGCTGGAAAGGTCAGCAAGCAGCGCCTGATACGACTGCAGCACATCTGGCAGCAGCGTGATGCGGGCTTGTCTCTGTTGGTGAATGGGGGGACCCGGAAGAGTTCGGCCAAATGCACAGATTTCTAAGTGTTATTTTTGTATCGATATATTGCACAGCAAAATAGTCTTTTACAAATCAATGCGCAATTTCTGCAACTCGTGTGAGCATTGGCTGTGACAGCCTAAAGATGGATCTTTTCTGTACTACTAATTTCACTGAAAACTGTTATAATAGTAAATGATCGTAGAGCGAGAGAAGATTTGGCAGACCTGGGCGTAGACGGGAGGATTTACAATGCGGGGGGAGGGGAATGGATTGAACTGGATTAATATGCTTCCGGAGAGGGACCTGGAGCGGTTCTTACAGACAGGATTGAAGAAGTATCCTGCATGTTCCTCCGACACAGTGCATCTATCTACATGTCCACACAGCCAACACCTCTACTTTGAGAATCTCAAATGTCATAAAAAATTAATAAACCCAATGCGCTAGACTCAGAGCTCTGGCGAGAGAAACACGTAAAGAAGCGAAATTGTTGTAATGAAATGTGGCTTGTTGCAGGAGGAGGAACTTGAGAAGGAGGAGGAGGAGCCTGACCGTCTGACGCTGCTGCTGCCCCAGTCAAAGTTCGACTGCACCGCCAAGAAGACGGGGTACTACGCGGACGACGGGCTCAACTGTGAGGTGTTCCACTACTGCCAGGACAACGCCAGGCACTCGTGGATCTGCCCCGAGAGCTTCCTCTTCCACCAGGTGCGTTCTACCACAGTCTTCATCATCCTGTTATGTGGCCCGTTAAGGTTTCATGAATATGTACCGATATCTGAACGCGGTACTCTAAAATATCAAACTGGAATTCCTGCTTCATATTCAGGAAGTTCAATGTTCAATCCTCGGCCAGGAAATCAGCTATTCTAACAGGTATTTTGTGATGCACCTGGGTCCCTAAAGCAAGTGACGGGATTGTTTCTTAAATTTCTCGGCGACCATTTCCTTCCATATCCTTTCAAGTTCATTAATCAGTAATCATTCTCTCATCCGACGCTGCCTATTCTGAACTACTGACAGCGTCGTCAAATGAGGTACCTCTTCACTCACATTCTCCCTAGGTTTGTTGTTTTCCATTCTTCTCGCGTGTTGCTTCCAATTAGGTAATTTTGCATACATTTAATGACTGGTTGAATTGTTACTTCTTTTAATAACCACTGGCTCTTTTATGACCTAACAGTGTGTAACATGCAGTTATGCCCATAAATCGAACTTCTGGCGCCGATAATTTGTTTTCAACTGCTTCTTTAACCACGTAGGACTCCCCTCCATACAACAAAACACGTCTTTCAAATTGCGTAAAGTTACATCTAGTACACTTCTGTGCTAAACGTTTCAATACCACATTCAGTGCTCAAGGTGTTTATATGTTTTATGGCATGTCCTCACCTTCACTTCTCATAACGCAGTCCGGATGAAATTAATTGAATACGGAAGCTTCGAAATCTCTCAGAGCTTACGTAAAGTTGTACCGCATCTGCTGTCAAATGTGGAGAAGTTCAGGCTGAAAACGTATTTGTTACGCGGTTCCTTCAGGTTCACCTCATCTGCATGCCGCCGAGCGGGGACAACATCTGCCAGCAGTCATCCCAGTACCACTTCGTGAACGACTACCTGTACCGCCCGATCAACGCCGAGGAGGCGCAGACAAAGCCGAACGTGACGCTCCGCTACTCAGACCGCTACTACCCCGACTCGTATTACGACCCGGTCGAGGAACAGCCCCGTCCCGTCGTCGCAACAACCCCGCGGGGCAGACCGGTCCAAGTGCAGCAGCCCACGCTGCGCCCCATCCAGTTCCGCCAGCAAGCTCCCAGCAACCAGGTGTTTCACTCCCCCGAGGAAGTCAACATCCCCCTCCAGCAACGCCGCCCTGCACCACCACCACCCCCACAGCGGAGCTTCCAGGGCAAGGACGACGAGTACGAGTACGACGACACGCCGTTCAGAGGGTAGAAGTGTCTCTCGAACACGCGCAGTTTAACACGATTACGCCGGATGCAAGGGCGGGACCGGTCGTCCATCTGACCTGTGGTTCAACTCGCTGAAAAACGAACGACATAAATACGCCCGGCTTTCCTCGCGTATCGCTGATCAGAGAAGCGCGCGGCGACCCGGTGCTGCTCACAGGTGAACCGCGGTGGGTCGCCCCGTCGTGAACGTGTTAACAGGCAGTCTTGTTGTACGTACAACACGTCAGCAATGCAGTCGGAAAATCACTCCTTACACACAGACATTGAAGAGTCGGGTGTGGACCCAGACTTGGCCGGACAGCCACTGCAGCGCTCGGACACTGGTTATTTATCATCGTTATTTATCAGTGCACTAATTGCTGTGTGTAAATGGGCCATATTATGTAATAAAGCTCAAATCGTTCTTATAATATCCTTCCTCTTTGCAAAACCTTCAGTCTTCGTCTATTAGTACGAATTAATATCTACAGTTTCAGACTTTCAAAGGAGAATGACAACATTTTGGTTAGGAATTCTGGAAAAATCCGACTGAGCGGGCAGTACTCTCGACCTAGCTAAAGCCTGTCATCAAACAACGACCGCAGAAATTGTAGCGAGAGGCATATTTAACTCTAAAATACGATCACAGTGCCGACCGCAGTTATCAAGAAGAAAGCTTCCACTTTCTTCGGAATCAGTTCTGATTAACCTGAGAGAAATTTGACGGCCCGGCACTTCAATGATAAAATTTTCAGAAGTTATTCTGTAATGTTACCATGGCAACTTATAAGTGCATTTAGCAAGATGGTGTAAGTTGTAACCGTAAGTGTCAAGAGATGGCAACATTTGTTACGTTTCATTGATACTGTCACACATAAAACACACACATAAAAGTAGGATTACTAAACTATTCATATCGTTCGTAGCATGAAACGTGTTAACAGAAGTAAGCTGTGGAAAAGCTTCGATAGCAACAACAAACAGAATGAGCTGTTATCTCTCGAAACTATGCTAATGCTGATAATACGACCGGTGCACACAAAGCGTTCATCGCAATTTTGCATAACCTTAATGATCATCTGTTGCAGATACAAATTTATTCTTCCGGGTGTAGAGCGAAATCTCTTTTGACGCGAAAAATTTCTAACGATATCAGCTATTTAAATAAGGGCGACACGTTTTTATCTGAAAGGACGGTGGGCAACACGAGGGCCGCATGTGCCCGTTCAGCATAGTGACAGTCCGTGGCATCGAATCCGACCCAACGTTGAATTTGGCCAATGGAGTGTTGTAACAAAAATTTAAAAACACAAAACTGTAACTTTAGCTGCTCTGAAAACTCGTCGAACTAGCACTGAGGAGTGACGGCAGGCAGAATGGAGAAAATTACACATCGATCCCATATTTTCTTGTGGTTGAGGTGATTATATCACTGAATGGGCTGCTTATGTAGCACGCCTATAGGATAGGTGTAAGAAATGCATTTAAAATTCCAGTTGGAAAAACCTCATGAGAAAGAGTTAAGGCATGTAAGGGCAATATTAAAATCGATCTTCGAGAAACTGCAGTCAGCTCCACAGAGGTAAAAAGGAACGAATGGTAAGTAGTTTTAAAGCACACACAGTTCAATGCGATAAAACGAAAGGCAAATAGACTGAATGCACCAACCGATATTTCGCCATACGGTCATTTCTGCGCAGAAGAAAAGAACTGCTCTCACACCTGCACATTTTCTAAACGATGACAACTGTGCTGGTCCCATGATAATGTATTACTGAACACACGGAATTGAAATACAACGGTGGGGATGCTGGGTTTGTAGGCCATTTCAATTATGTTGTGTCAGCTGCTGGTGTTACTTAGCGTTGAATGAAAGAATGAGTGGATGGTGACTTGCAAGTGGCCGAGGCCTCCATCTAGACAATAACTAAGAACAACTGAGGAAACCCGCAGCTTCTCAGGCCCAGATTCAAACCTGATCCTCTCCAATATAAGTCAGTGGTGTCTGGTCTTTAGTGATGAGCCCGTCGTACAAAATTTCAAAAAAATCGAGAACCAGGAGCGAGGTAGGAGGCATGTGCTCTGCGTATGGAAACCAGGCTAAACACATGAACACACGAAACATTCAGCCACGCGGCGAGACGCAATAAGATTATCTAGCGTGCTGGTGATATCCGCGCGGGTCTTGAACCAAGGGTGGGAGCCACCAGTTGCGTCATAACACATCAGAATCCCGACACACTCAGTTTCCAAACATCAACAAAAACAGCGAGGATGCAAAAGGTTAAAAATAAATGACCTTAATGTTTACAAGTTTCCAACGTTGGCAGCACTGCATGGCCGGCGTTTGTTTCATCCTGTGCACAAAGCGAAGGTCGTGCTAGAGGCAGTGAGAGCCACAGAACGGTGTTGTGACAAGAGCAGTGTGAGCGTGAGGGTAGGATATGGGAGATCAACTGGACTCGGGGGATGCTGAGGGGAGATTCCCCATCAAAGAGAGCGGCATGAAGGATGTCAAAGAGGGGTCCAGGAAGCTCAACATCAAAATGAGCTTCAGGACCTTGTCTTCGCCAAGGAAAGCCGACAAAGGTAGGCTTCAAGCACAATAGCATGGCCCTGGCAGCAGACTAGTTTTCGATCTTTTCAGCTGTACTGTCGCTGGAACCTCAGTCTCTCCTCGCTCATGCGTTACTGGGTGCCTCAGTGGGCATGAAAATGTATGGAACGTTGAAACCAAAGTTGGTAGAAAGTGCACAAACAAGTCCACTTGTATTAATTGCACTGCCATTATATGGAAAATATCAAACTGTGTATAACATCCCACTAGTAGTGTGACAATGTATTCAGTACGTACTTAAATATGATACTAAAGTGTGGAGGGAAGAGACCACTCGAAAATGTAGGCATAGATGGGATGATACTATTAAAATGCATCTTAGGGAAATAGACTTGGGGTGTGGTTTGGATTCATTTGGCTCAGGACCGGTGACGGAATCTTTTGAATACGGTAATGAACTTTCGGGTTCTATACAAGGGAGGAATTTATTTATTAGCTAGCTGAACGTACAATTCAAGGACTCTGCTCCATCGATTTAGTTGTGTTGAAATTCACCTGTGCCTTCACGGAAAGTTGTACATCATTTTGGGTCAAAAATTAACTTCGTGGATAGGCTTTAGTAATATCTGCGAATACAAGATTTAATCAGAATCATCTTATTAACAGCAAACGAACATTCTGATGATGCTTTGCCTCAGGATAGCGCGGCTGATTTCTAATTTGAAACGGGTTTGAGGTTTCTTTCTGTCAGAAATTCAACTGATTCAGTCTCAAGTTATTTTACAACGCTGTTACAACCGCAAATGTTAGTCTGAAGCAATGAATGAGTTGTGAAGATGGTGATTAGGCAGGTATTTCGAAGGAGGCAGTCATGGCCTACTTGAAGGTACTATCCCCGCAGACACTAGAGGAAACTGAGGAACACCACCACAAGAAACCTCGGGATAGCCGGCTCCCTCTCGAATAGCGATTGCATTCAACCAACAATAACAATTCCAGTAACAGTAACAGTATAAATCATTCAGAAACACACGCAGTGCTGTCAGGAGGGTGTTACGAGACCTACACAGTGACCGAACTGTATCAGCATGATTACATCAAATGGATGCATGTAGCATGCATGGAGGAAACATGGGCCTGTATACGTTTCTGGCAATAAACTCTCTCGGGAAGAAAATTGTAAAACAAATCTTAGAGAAATACACTTGTGAAGACGTGAAATAGATCATGGTGGGCTTTTGTAGACACGATAATGAACCTTTGGGATCCATAAATGAATTTAATTATTTTCAGAAGTTTACTAACTATCAATTGTTCAACGACGGTCGTAGTCCTGAATTATTTAGTGTCACTTATTTCTTGGGTTATTTAACGACGCTTTATGAAATGCCCGAGTTTGTAGCGTCGAATGATTTCAAAATACAGGTAACTAAAGAAATGTCATTAACATGTACGTACTCTGGAAAAGCAAGACACCTGACACGGAATCTTAAGTAGACACGTTGAGATAAATTCCGATCGGGAGACGGAAGCGGGAACCAGTATCTCTACGCTGTGTTGGAAACTCAGGCAGGAGAAGAATATTCAGGCACAGTGTAATGTCGCGTCTATAAATAAGCCAGTCCCATCTCTCAAAGCGACAGAGGCGCTTCCGAAGTATCGGAGGACGCTCTGCCATCTTGAAACAAACTGAACGATAAATCAGTGCACAGAAATGCGCACACTGATTGATGCATGGAATCTACAGTTCCTTCCGCAGCTTGAAACAAAGTCAGGCCCTTCCACTTCCGGTTGATAGCGACGGAAGTTGTGGGATTCAAGCGTGCCGATCACCGACTCCTTGCCGCAAGGACACAGATTCAATCCCAGGAAGCCCATGTGTCCTGAGGCCGCGAGACAGAATTTTCACCGATGCTTCACACACGCGAATCGCGACAGGCCTGAGCAGCCGGCACAGTGTTTCAGCCTCTGACACCTCTTGGGTCAGGATGAACTTCACTCTAGGCTCTTCTGGATTTTCAGTCGGGACAAACAAGTCGATTTCCGTAACAAAGAGACATCGAACATGTCAGGAGAAACTGGAACGCAGCTGTCTTGTATTTCCAACACGACTAACTCCATGGAGCAGAGTCCGTCGTGAGAAGCTGATAGTCTCTTAGCCGGCCAAGAATTCCCAGCCTTTTATGGAACCCGAAGATTCACCAGATCACTAAACCGGTTGAATGTAGTCCACGCACTCAGTATTTTTACGATCCATTTTAATATCATCTTCCCACCTACTCCTATTCACCCAAATGACCTCCCTCTTCACATTTTCCTACCAGGTTCAAATCGCGGCCAAGACGTCGGTTTTCCAGAGTATGGTGTCCGTGGATTTCCTTAGTGCGCCCAGGCGAGTTTAGGACAAACCACTTTCCGCGCACATGGCCACACTATCATTACAATGACAGTAAATTATCAATAAAGAGACACCGAGCTGGTTGGCTGGCTTATAGGCCCAATCTTGTGGCACTCGGCTCGTTTCGTGGTTTTTCTGTCCTTCGAGGCAAATGCTGTGACGGTCCAGCTCCCGTCATTTCCACTTTTTTGTTCTTAAACATTCTTTAATCTAATTCGGCGCTCCATAACCTCCGCACTTGATACTGTCGTTAAACTGCCTACGCATGTCCATTACGATCAGGCCCCAAAAAAATCACAAAATGTTTCGTGTTATGCAGCACTGGGATAGTCGGTTCAAATTCCGCTGCGGACATTCTTTTATGTCCGCCATTTTCTGTACTATCCTGTGCGGTTACAGTCCTTACTATTGTCCGATCCACTGTCCAAAGAATTCACTGCTTCAGAATTACAAAGCGGAACAGACCAGATCGTCTAATTCGTGGCAGGTGAGGTTACGTACGCAAGAAGAAAATCTTCGTTATGTACCAGGTCAGAATTTGTGTCATCTCCGTAGAAGATATGTGTCCCCCTTGCTCATAAAGAATTAATACGGCTTCTGATTACTACATTACACGGTAGAATTTATTTAGCGTCAAATATGGGGATCGAAACGCAAGTCACCAACTCTCAAGGTACTGTCCCAGCAAATGTGTGTATGGACTAGAAAAGAACCGTCAGGACAACTGGTGTCACAGGCGAGACTCGAACCGGGAACCTCCCTGCAAGCAAGGTGCCCCTTGAGGATTATAAGCTAATCAAATCAGCAAACAACCTACACACTCCTCTTGTGTTTATCGCCATTAAAGGTTTGTTACTAAGCAACGCCGTGTCCAGCTGATTATAAATGGAAAGTTTTGGGGAGGGAAGTTCTATCCCGGCGACTGACTGGATTAGCAGATCTCCAGGGCCTTCGATTGCAGCGAAACAAGGCTCAGAATTCATCTGCTGCAATCTGAATATAGAAATTACGTAACTCTGGCATTTTACGCCGATCTCTCAACGGTTCACGTGAGACTGAAGTGCAAATTGGCCATGAAATACATGCGCAGGGCTTACCAGACACGAGCTGGATGTGTCACAACAGGAAGCACATTTATTTCCTCACTCGAAGACTTTCGGCTGTTTCCCTACTCCGATGTTTCGACTGTGGTGACCCACTTAAAGGCACTACCTGCAATAACTGGCATAAACCACGAAACAGTCGGTCATCTCTTTGGACAGGAAGCCATCATAGCATTGCAGCATTTTAGGGAAATATCTGCGTGGATTCGATCCGAGGACTAAGGATCACAAGAAGAAAATTACAGACTAGTAAAATCGAATAATATATTGGTAGGCGGAACCTCTTGGAAAACAGCCGTAGGAGGGAGGATAATATTAAAATTGATCTTACAGAAATATTTTCTGAAGACGTGATTGTTTCTAATCAGGAGTTTCGGTGTTAGCAGCTGTGTACCGTCGGATTCTGTTCTACTACCAAAGTTCGCCATTTGCTTCTGAAAAGAGCTGTTTGAGCTTCATGCAGACTCATTGTGAACCAAAATTAATCACACACTGGACCGTTCTCCCCATCGAGTACAAAACTGATTCCAAATACGTGGAACACCTGCCAAAACCGAGTTAAGGACCAACAGCTGACCACTTGTTGCAAGAGTTTCTAACATGTTGGTTGCTCCTCATGCAGACAAACCGCATGACTTCGTCTCACCATCGCCTTGATGAGTTTCCTGGCTATCTACAGGCACAACTCCGTACACTGACGAGAGTTTTCCATCCGTGCCTTAGGTTATTCAACGACTCTGTTTCAACTGCGTAAGTTATGTGTGCTCGACTTCCCAGTGTCCCCACTGCACTTCAAATTACGTTCTTGCGTGTCTGCATAAACCGTGCTGACATGATGCTTGAATCCATTCAGTGGATTTCATTTACGTAACTGAATGTCTACTACAGTTCCTAGATAAACTTATCAGACTAGCTACTTTGTAGGAACGAGTAATAAATGACGACAGTAGCACAAATAAGATACAGAAGTATATTCAGAAAAAAGTTCAGTAACCGACAGACAAACAGCGATATGCGAGATATCGAAGCGGCAGCAATGTTGTCTGCAATTGGACTGATCCCCTGCAAGGGGTAAATTGGTCCAAAGCACTGGTGTTGTGTTGTTCTCCACAAGAGGGAGGGGCAGGAAGCGACGTATCAGTGAGAATGCACAATTGCCAGTGTTGCTTCACTCATACACGACTTGGGAAAAAATCTTTCTTTACCACCAACGTAGCGCAGTCTATTAAAATGTGGCAGCTTTACGAACACACGCAGTAAACTCGAGAACAAGTGAACTCCCTGCTGCAGAATCTTTCGTGAGAAGTTGGTAGTCGCTAAGATTGTCAATGAATTGCCCATCTTTCGTCGAACCCGAAAGTTCATTACCGTGTTCACAACAGCCCGCCACCACCGGGGTCAGATGAATCTAATCCACGCAATCGCACATCAATTCCAGTTTAATATTATCCTCCCGTGTATGCTGATCCATACAGATAAAACAAGGCGTGTTTTCTTAAATGAGATAACTATTCTGCATCGTTCATTGTCA